ACTTATAGCCACTTAATTAAATTCGGGTCTTTTTTCCTTGCATTTGTCTGTGGAACAAGAACCTTGGAGGTGGACAGCTCACTCAGCCACCTGTACCATTGGCTTCTGTCCTCATGTTCACCCTCTTAAAGTCACACAGTGGTATCTTGTCTATGTTGTGGAGAAGAGAGGATGAAGGGCAAAGGGCATAGGGCAAGCACATGCTGAGTCTGAATACTTTTTGTGAGTCCTGCCCAGTCCTTTCCACTTATATCTCACCGGCCAGCACCCTGTCACATAGTCACCACAGCTGGGAGATGGAGTGCTTTAGCAGGGCACGGGCTCTGCTAAGAAAGAGAGGACATTGAGTTGACAACTTGCAGTGTCTGTCCCAGCTGGCTGTTGCCATTTCTTTTGTTTTCTAGCCTCATATAGTTCTAGGCATACACCAGAGACGTGCTGATGCTTGTGTACTGATCGAAAAGGCTCTCCTCACCTTGTGGGCAAAACACTAAACACAAATGACATACACAATGTAATTCGGTACATGCTCAAATGCCAGAATGACTGGTGCTGCAGAAAACAGAGAAGGGACAGATCAACTTGGGTTCTGTAGGAGCACCATGAAAGGGGATGAAACCTGAGCTGAATCTGGAAGGTTGGGTAGGATCAACAGATCAACAGCAGCTGTGCTGAAATCCTGGTTAGATCCCCCTCCATCGCCCGTTCAGATGGCAGGGTCGGGGGAAACCTGCGTGTAGCTTCTTTTTCTCGTTGCAGTCTGGGTGAGCCTTCATGCGTGTGCCACACTCAGATACAAGTCTCCTATGTCCCTTTCTTGGAACCGACTCTACCAGACATAGAAGAATTGGTCAATGTATGGGTCTCAACCCTAGAGAGCACTTCATGCCCCAACGCACCTGTTCTGTGCCCACCCTGATCCCTAAAGCAGGCACTACCACCCAGTCGCGTTCCCTTTCCAGCCAACTTCCAAGACTCAGAAGTTACCCTCACCTGAGAATGCCCCCACATAAGGTGGCCTTTACCAGTTGTCACTTCCCAGTACCACCACTACCATATTACCAATCTGTCTGTGGGGTCATGATATACAACCTGCCCCCTCAACCCCTAGCAGCTTTTGGTTTTCAAATTCTTGACCTTTCTCTACTATTGAGGTGGCAGAGAGGCCTCCACGTCCACTGCCTGCACAGTGGGATGACTACGGGAGGAACGCAAAGCAGAAGAAAGAAGTCAGCACTTGACTCCTGAATTTCAAGACATTCCTGGAACCTGTAGCAGAGGGGCTAACAGGGGGCAAAGGGCTTTTAAATACTAACACCGAGTCCCCTAAGAACACAGAGGATATGCTCAAAACAAGAGATCTGGAAGAAAGCCTGAAGAAACCGGAGTGAGGTTTTCTTCCTGCAAAGGAAATAATTCTGCAGTTCTGGGGAGAGGTGATGGGTACCATTAGACCTCCACATGAGTCTCTGAGAAAGGAAGCCTGTGCCCAGGTGGGCTCCAGGGATCTGGGAGCAGCGAGAACTTGGCCTCACTCTCTGGAGTGGGGAGGGAGGGGGAGGGGAACTGAGCATCCCTGCAGGCAGCTGAGTGTTTTCCTGAGTGGTTGGGAGTAGGTCAGGAGGGGCGCTCACTGGCAGCAGACCATGCCCCCCCAACCTCTCCACCCCCCCCCCCACCCCATGCTGTAATCTCACCAATGCCCCTGGGAGCTTGGCAGTGACCTTGGGAAGAAGGCAGAAGAGGAAAGCAACAACTGAGGAAGAAAAATCCTGGAGACTGAGTTTTCCCTGAACTAGGATTAAGCTTTCCGCCATGAGGAAGAAGGGGGGCTTGGACATAAACATTACCTGCTGGAAAAATAGGAAAAAGAAGCACCTGAGGTAATGGCCTGTGGCATTTGGACCTACTGCATTTTTTCATTCTGAGATACTGCACAATTTAAAAATAAATAAACTTTTTACCTTGCGGTAGATTGTAGAAAAGTAGCGAAGATGGTACACAGTTCCTATATACTTCACACCCAGACCCCCTACATTACTCACAGCTAATGAATCCGTATTTGTACGTTATTACCAAAAAAAGGTGCATATATTATTCTGATTTTCTTGATTTTTACTTCATGTCCTTTCCTGGTTCCAGGATCCCATCATGTTTAGTTGTCACGTTTCCTTGGACTTTTCTCAGCTCTGACAGTTTTTCCGATTTCCTTATTTTTGGTGACCTTGAGAATTTGGGGAAGTGCTGGTTGGGTAGTTTGTAGAATGTCCCTCAGTTGAGATTTCCAAGATGTTTTTCTAATGATCAGACTGGAGTTACGTGTTTTGGGAAGAGGACCACAGGGGAAAGTGCCTTCTCACCACAGGATATCAAGGGTACACACCACCCATGTGCTTTGTGACCATTAATGCTAACGCTGTGTCCATCACCTGGCCGAAGTAGTGCTTTGCTAGCCTTTCCCGTTGTAAGGTGATGCCCCACCCCCTTTCTATTTTGTGCTCTTTGGAAGGACGTCACAACGTGCAGTGCAGCCCATAGTTAAGGAGAGAGGAACTCTATTCCATCTCGTTGAGGGCAAAGTGTCTGCACACATGGTTGGGGACCCCTCTGCATGGCAGGGCATTATTCTCCTCTCCGCTTACTTTGTACACCACTTATTTTTATTAGTATGGACAAATGGGTATTTATTTATACTTTGGGTATATCAAGTATTGTATTATGTATTTATTTTCTTACTCAAGTTGTGCTAGCTTTGGCCTCTGGGATCTCTTTCAGTTTGCTCCTCTGTCCCTTTGACAGCTCCCCTTCACTGTTTTGTTGTTGGTTAAAAAAAACACCCTTAATTTGAGTCCTCCTTGCTGGTGCAGCTCAGTAGATTGAGCACCAGCCTGTAAACCGGGGGGTTGCCAGTTCAATTCCCAGTCAGGGTACATGCCTAGGTTGTAGGCCAGGTCCCCAGTAGGGCCGTGTGAGGGTCAACCACACAGTGGTGTTCTTCTCCCGATCCCTCGTTCCTTCTCTCTCTAAAAATAAACAAATTAAAAATAAAGCTAAAAAATTTATTTTGAGCACTTTCTTACCTTCTGGCAGAATGAGATACTCCGGGCTGGTCTTGTGTATTTCTTGCCCCAGACCTAAACTCAGCCATTTTCCCCAAGAGACCTTGTTCCTTTCATTGGAGAATGGTGTTTAAAACAACATCTGAGTGCCAGACATGCTCACTGCTACAGGAGTGTTGTTTTTTTAAAGACCACTTAGCTGACAGAGCAGGGAAATCTATGTATGGGTACTAATGGATGTATATATTCATATCTGTAAGTTATGTATCCATCCGTATCTATAATAAACTAAACATGAATTCATACTGATGTCCCCAAAGTTAATGCAGTGCCACATGGATCATTCTGGCTTCCTCCCCTTGCACATCTGTAACCTCCCTCTCTAACAGTGGGAAACCTGGTATCCACCATCCACCTGGCATTCGTTCCTTCATTCCCAGTATAAACATTATAGTAGTTTAATCATCCAGTTATTTATTTATTTAAATTTTTAAAATTTATTTATCTTTAGAAGGGAAGGGAAGGAGAGAAGGAGAATCAATGTATGGTTGCTTCTGGTGCATCCCCTGCTGGGAACTGGCCTGCAACCCAGGCATGCGCCCTGACAGGGAATCGAACCATAATCTTCTGGTTCACAAGCCCGTGCTCAATCCACTAAGCCACACCAGCCAGGGCTAATCATCCAGTTTTTAAAAAAATGAATCTTGTTGCTGTTTCTCTTTGTTTTCTGCAGTGTTGGATCCTTTAAACTCTGACACCATCCTTTTTATCAGTTTTCTTGTCGTCACCGCTTAGGGTTTTTTAAAAATATATATATTTTATTGATTATGCCATTACAGTTTTTCTATTCCCCCTTCATTCCCCTCCACCACACCCCCTCCCCCACTGTTCCCCCCTTTAGTTTATGACCACGTGTCTCAAGTTCTTTACATTTTATATTTCCCATACTATTCTTGCCCTCCCCCTATCTATTTTCTACCTACCATCTATGCTACTTATTTTCTGTACCTTTTTCCCCCTTCTCCTTCTCCCACTCCCCTGTTGCTAACCCTCCATGTGATCTTCATTTCTATGGTTCTGCTCCTGATCTAGCTATCCTCTTTGTTTGCTTTTATTTTAGGTATGGTTGTTAATAACTGTGAATTTGCTGTCCTTTCACTGTTCATCTTTTGTATCTTCTTTTTCTTAGGTAAGTCCCTTTAACATTTCATATAATAAGGGCTTGGTGATGATGAACTCCTTGAATTTGATCTTATCTGAGAAGCACTTTATCTGCCCTTCCATTCTAAATGAAAGCTTTGCTGGGTAGAACAAATTTTGTGTTTGAATATTTCTCAAGTGCTGGTTTCACACGGATAGTCCCTAAAGCTGGATGACACCTACCCCTCATTTCCTTTGGTCTTCCCAGTCCCACCGCCTTCCCCATTCTCTGCATTTTGGTTGTGTGAGTCAGAATCTCATTTTACAGAGGAGGAGACTTCCCCCGGGAGTCCAGGGGCTTGCCTCACTCCGGACTGGAATAGCGAACCTCTTTTCACGATCTGTTTCTTCATTCATCAACTATTACGGAGTACCGGAGTACCGATTACAGGCTAGTGCCAGCCCCGTGCCCAAGCCACCGACCTCGCAGGCGAGATTAGAAATAAACAATTCAAGCGCTGGGAGGACTGTGCTGGCGGTGCGGGAGGGAGCGCCCGGTGGGGTACTCAACGCCGGGCCCGGAAAGATCTGCCCCGGCGGCCTGAGCGCTCCCGCTCCCCCACGGGTCGGAGTTGCAGGGTGTGAGCCAAAGGAGCCAGGCTGAACGCTCCGGCAACTGCCCACCGGTTCTCCCTGCGCCCGGCCGCCGGGCGAGGCCCCGCCCCTCCCGCCAGGCCCCGCCCACCGCCAGGCCCCGCCCGCCCACGGAGCACGCTCGGCCCGAGACGAGGTTCGCCGGAAATTGCCGAAGCCCCTCTTTTTTCCCTTCCTCTCCTTTCCCTGCTCTCCCTTTTCCTTTCACCCGGGTTCCCTCGGCCGTGATTTCCCCCCTCCCCCTCCTTCCTTCCCCATTTGAAATCAAGATGGAGGCTCGCGGCTGCCCCCCGCGTCCGTGATCGCGGAGCTCCCGCCGGCCCCGGGCCCCAGCCCTCGCCACTGCGTGTCTCGCGCGGCGCGCGCCGCTGCCCGCGCTCCGGCCGGCGCGGCCGAGGCCGTGGCTCCGCGCCCCCGCCCCGCGGCCAGCTCGCGGCTCCCGGGCGGCGTCCTCGTCTATGTGGGCGCGCTCCGCGGGCCGAGCCGCCGCCGCCCGCCGCCGCCCCGGGGCTCTGCGTCCGCGCGCCGGGTGCGGGCAGCAGGGCGCTCAGCTCCGCCAGGCCCGGCGCGGAGCGGGCGGCGCGCAGCGCTAGGGGCGCGGGGCCCGAGCCGGGCGCGGCCGCCGCCGCAGCCATGAGCGGCAGCAGCGGCGGCGCCGCCGCCCCCGCCGCGTCCTCCAGCCCCGCCGCCTCAGCCAGCGCGGCGGGCTCGGGCTGCGGGGGCGGCGCCGGCGAGGGGGCCGAGGAGGCGGCCAAGGACCTGGCCGACATCGCGGCCTTCTTCCGATCCGGTGAGTGCAACTGCGGCGCGGTCGGTGCGCTCGGCCGACACCTCCGGGAGGCGCGGCTCGGGGGCCCCGGCGCGCCCGGCGCTCACAAGCCCGTCGGGCCCGGCGCGCTCTCGCCCGGCCACTGCGCCCCTCACCGGGGCTCCTGGACCCGCAGCAGCGGGTCCCGCTACCCGCGCCGCCCTGCGCGCCGCGCCTCCGCCTGGACGCCGCCGACTCGTTCTTTCTCGCGCCCGCCCCGGTTCCAGAGTAAAACCTCCCGGTCTCCTGACTCCGGCGACCACAGCTCTATAGGTTGCCGCGCCGGTTCTTTGTTTCTTTCTCTGGAGGGCCGAGGAGGGGGCGGTGGGGGTGGCGAGGGCGGAGGCTCCAGTCCCGGAGGCCGGGCGGACGGGGGCGGCGGGCCCGGGCCCAGAAAAACGGGCTCTCGGCTCATTTGGGCTGGTCTCTGTGGCCGATTTGTACCTGGCCCTTCTTCCACCTCCTTAGCATCCAGGTTTCTTAGCTCGGCCCTCTAGCCTGTCACCTCCCCGGCCTCGGTCTACACTTCTGTGAAACGGGGCAGCCCTGGCAGACGCTGCCCGGGGGTGGAGGGAGGCGGCCGAGAAGCTCGGTCGGCCGGGAGGCCGGTGAAGGATGGTCTCCGGGGGCGGCCCTGGAGGGACGTCTGGGAACGTGGTGGCCTTGGGGGAGGCGCGGGGCGTGAGCTCCTGGGGCACTGCCTGGGTGGCTTGGAGGTGGAGGCAGTGCCAGGTGTCTCTCCGGCGAGGAGGGGGTGGCCGCGGGAGAGGCGTGCTTTGCGATCCGGAGGAGGCGCGGGGGGCGTGACAGGGCGTCCCCCGGCCCCCAGCGGCGACGCCTCCTCTCTCCGGGCCCAGATCCCGCGCGAGCCGGGCCCGCATCCCGACTCCCAGTCCTGTCTGCTCCCGCGCCCGGGCGGCGGCGGAGAAGCTGGCGGCCGCCGCTTCGGGACCTGCAGCCTGAAGCGCAGTGCCCGGCGGGCCAGGCGCCGGGCGGGGAGGACACCGGCTCGACGCTGGAGAGCGGAGGAGGGCGGGCCAGGTCCGGGCCGGGCGGGCGGCCGGGCGGGGTGCGCAGGGCGTGTGGGGTGCTGGTGGCGGCCCCGGCGGGACAGTTTGGCCCCGGCAGCTGGGGGAGCGGCTTGCCCTGGGGCGCGCGCCAGAGGTTGGCTGCTCTGTTTCTCTGTGGCCTTTTTCAAAATACAGTCCCTGGATTCGGTGAGATCACTTTGGTAATCCGGGTCACACAGAGCGGTTTTCAGCGGGAGAGCGATGGTCAGAGGCAGAAGTTAGTAACAGTAGGTCCTGTTCTAGTACTGTCTTCCCCGTTGATTGCTTGGTCTTTGCCAGGCGGGGTTATGTTCGAGTCAATTGAACAGTTCGGTTGTGGCTGGGCGTGACATATGCCGACTCAACAGTGTCATTTTGGGGTTAATATAGTCCTCGGTGCTCCCTTTCCCCATGAGGTCCCTGAAGAAAGTAAAGGTCTAAGAAAACATGAGCTCGGAACGAAAGCCTTTTTCTTTTTGTGCAGGTAGCCGATTGAGCAGTCCCTTCTTACTTCTTAATAGCAGAACTGGGTCGTCTTCCCTTCATGCCCTGAAGCTAAAATCTAGCCTGTCTTCTCTCTGACTCTACCACCTGTCACAAAATAATAGATTCTGTGCAGAGTTCAGCTCTCCTCAGAAAGCCTCTTGTGCTCTGCAGCCAGAATTTATGGTGCCTGCGAGACCAGGCTTTCTCACGTCTTCGTTATACGCGTTAGAGAAATCACTTCATGTTCGTAAGAGCCCCCACAGGCAGCAGGTTGGACTGGACACCCACAGTCAACTTGCTCCGTGTCAGTGTGGTGCTCCTCGGGGTTCATGTGGGGACATAAATCTGCCGGTGGCCATGCCTAGGCCCATGCTCGCCCCCAAGCCCTGGCTCCTGCTGGTGTTCACTTTGGGCCAGAAACAGACAGTGCTGCGCAGTGGTTTGCTCCATTCTTTTACCCTCCAAAATGATTTGACAAACCATCCCTTTAGTTCTTTGACTTGGAGTCAGGAGCTAGAGCAGATTTTCAGTAGGCAGCAGTTGCGCCGACCCGTCCCAGGGGTAGTCTGGAATGTCTTTTAAAAGTGCTTCTCCCTCCTTTGGGCAGCTCTGGATTCCTGACCTAGATCTTGGCTCCAGCATCTAGGGCAGTGAAGTCTAGCAGAGGGTAGAGAGGGACCATTCAGTTGGATTGCTGGAGGTGGGGAGGGGGTTTGGTCTGGACAGATGAAGCAGGAAGAGCCGGGTGGGGAGCTCAGCTGGTAGAACGGCTCAGAGCCTTCTTCAGAAGGCTTCAATCAAAGAGCCTTCTGGGCAGCTTTGATTGAATGTGGCTGGCTGAATGGGGAGGTCAGTCCATTGGTAAAATGTGACATTCTTGCCTAAGATGTGGAGAGACAGAGAACTGGTTGCCATCGACTGTGGTGGACATTTCCAGGTGTGGACGTTTTCCCAGGGTGTTTTTGAGCCTGGTACCTAAGACTGCCAGTGTGCCTACACACAGTGTTTCTGCTCATTGTTCCTTTCATTTCTCAGCCCTGAACTGTGTGCTTGGCCACCTTATTTTCTTCCCTTCTTTATATTCCTTGTCTGCGCTGCATTACATTTTATCTTTGTAGTCACACATTGAAAACTGGTACCCATAATTGGATGAAAGAAGGGGAAAGACTTTATAGTTTAATAGGACTTTTAAACAATTGGAATGGGCTGCCATCAGATTTCTCCATCACTGGAAGTGCTTAAGCAGGGGCTGTGCCCCCTGCCAAGGTCTGGAGTTGAGTGTGGGGAGATGGCTCAGGGCTGTTTCACCCTCTCATATCATGTGGTTCCCTCTGAGCCCCTAGTACCTAATGGCTGTTCTCTGCTTTTTGTTGGGTAGAGCGAGTCTTCAGAGCCGTGATTGCCTTTCCCCTCTGCTTGCCTGCCCGATACACCCAGTGTCCACCTTCTTCCAGGTCTCACCTCATATGCTGTCATTTCATTCTCCATTCAGGTCCTTGGCCCAGAAACTTCCCCTTCATTTGGACAACCCTGACTCCCCTTTTATAGATCTGGCACTAGCAGGCAGGTCAGTTAGTGTTGAATTGAGATGAAAAATGTGGTTATGGTGTGTTAAAGGGCAGCTGAGATTTTCTGCACGTGTTAGTGGATTTCAGACCTTACTTTTTTCTTCTGCACAGAGCTCAGCACCAAAAAGATAAAGCAGATTTCAAAGCAAAACCAAACCAAAACAAAACAAAACAACCCCCCCCCCACACAACACCACAGAGGTGAGCCAGCACAGGTTTTTATTATTGAATATCATTTTTAATTCACAGATATCTTTCAGGCAGCCTGAATGGCTTGCTCAGAATGGGTCTCCCATTAGAGGTAAGGTCAGGGCGGGGAAGCGCCCCTGGCGGGGGCGCTCTTTCCTGGATGCCTTTCACGGCCGGGACTCCGCTTACATTAGTTCTCAAACCCACTGGGACCAATCACTTTTATTGCCAATCTATTTTGGGGCTCTGTTCTTGTGGCAATAAATTATTCTTTCAGAGCTCTCTATTTAACCTTGCAAGTGTGTGTGCATGTGTGGGTGCTTACATAAATGCAGTATTTTTAACTTGCCTGCCATGTTTTAGGTTGGCATTAAAGGAACGTGCAAAGAAGAAAGGCTTGTGGTTTTTCTGAAGTGTCGCGGCCCATCGTGCTGGTTGTTTTCCATCATTAAATCGAACTCGGGGCTCCTGGCAGCAGCCCTTCTCTTTGCGATGGACGATGGGAAGGAAAGTGGGTCTGGTTCTTAGGGAGGGAGCCACACGCGTATCTTTCCACGTTTTGATACGATGGTTTCCTCATGGAAGATCAAAGGAAGAGTCTCTTCATGTTTATGCTGCTAACACCACGTAAGTAGCTGGCCTTCAAGCTGGCCAGGCTGCTCTGTGTGCCTTTGCAGCCTGGCAGCTTTGGTCTTTGTGAGCACCAGTAACAATTATTATAGTATGGAGTCAGCCCTCCTTACTCCCAGTGTTTTGAAAAGGGAAGCTGAAGGGAATGTAATTTGACAGTGAATGTTGGTATCTTGTGTTTCGGTGGCACAGTTTTAGAGAAAGCAAAGAGACAGCTAAAAAAATAATCCTGTAAGTGACTTTCAAGAAATCAAAGAGCAGTAAAACAGTCATTGACAGAAACTTTTCATTGATACCTTGCAACTGACTAATTGACCTGTGATACTGTATCTCCTTTGCAGTTTGACTATCCCAGATTCAAATGAAGGTTTAAATGTAGCCATTTTAACCATTTGAATGATTAACTAAGACTTAACTGAAGGCAAAGGTTCTGTTGAAAATGAAGTGTGTAGTTTACATATGTTCTTCAAATGTGCATTAAAAACAGGTGATTAAGATGGTCTTTTTAGACCTTTTAAATATTATGATAAATTTGGGGTATGTTTTTAATGAAGAGTGAAAGATGTGTTTGAAGCTGTCATCTAAATCGGCTGTATGTGATACTCGTTTTAAGTTTATGTACTTGACTCCCCTACTGAGAAAATAAAATTTTATCTCATGTTCTTGGCAGAATTCCAGAGTAAAGTCAAGTTCTTAATCAATAGCCACACTTTACTCCCCAGTGAAATCACTTACATTGATAGGGATGGATTGTGCTTTACTGTAATATAAGGAGCAGTCTGAACACCCCCTGCATCCCTCCTCAGTTCTATAATGAATTGGTTTTTATTTCCCTAAGTGCGTTGTCTTGACAGAGTTTTAGTAGCGCCACTGGCAGGAACAGCAGCGACTCTGCGGACAGTGCAGGGCCGGAGTGAGAATAGTGCTGTTCTGGTGGAAGCTGGTGGCACGTGCTGACGTCCCTTCTCATTTCTTTCCCGACCAAGTGTTCAGCTGAGTAGACTGGGGGCACTGACGGAGTGACTGCGTTATTTGTCTTGTGGACGGAGACACTGTCTTT